TCCATCCCCACCGTTGAGCACAAGGGAAACAGAGGTGTCCATATGTGTGTCTCTTGCACTTCAGGTTTGGTTGTCTCTGGTGGATGTCTTCTAGATACTCCTTCCCCTTGGCCCTGCTCCTTCTTCCCCTGATGGGTTTTCATGACCTAGTGGTATGGAGGGTCTTGGAAAGGAGCATTCTCCTCTGATCCAGCTCATTGGCTCTAGTCTGTCTGTCCCTTCACCCGACGTGCTGGTCTCATTGGCAAGGTTGGTGGTCAGTTCCCTGGCTGGATGAAGACCTAGTGGTCTTGCCTGGCTGACTTAGTTCCCATGACATTCGGACTTCTCTCATGTTTCTGCCATGCCCTCCCTCTGACCACAGATTACATAGTCTTGCCCCTGTACAAAGGACATTTCATCCTTCTCCATGGCAATTCTGAACCCAGCTGTCTTCTGCCCTCCCCAGAAGACATTAGGAAATGGTCAGATCCCTTGTCTATTCTATATACCTCCTGGCCTGGCACTGGATATGTGGATGGATGAACAGACCTAGGGCATAGTGTATGTTCCTTGCATCTTATGCATGCATTCCTTAAGAGACTGCTCTTTACCCATCTGTCCCCCCACTTCTAGGACCATGCTGGGCACACAGTGGGCACCATAGAGTCCTGTTAAACTGAAGAGAGCTGTCTGGACCCCAATGCAACTGAACTGATTTGAAGTGGATATGGTTCACTCCTTATTTCTGAGTTCATGTTCATGAAAACTGGACCTTTTGAAAACTAGCTCCAGACTCTATTCAAGAGAAGAACTTGACTCTGGTTTGAGAGAAAAAGCTGACATTCTATATTTTCAGTGAGCTATTTTGAGGTTCAATTAAAAACATCTAGTTAGGGGCACCTTGGTGGCTCAGTTGTTAAGTATCTGCCTTCGGCTCAGGTCCTAATCCCAGGGTCCTGGGATCGAGCCCCGCATCGGGCTCCCTGCTCGGTGGGAAGCCTGCTTCTCCCTCTCCCACTCCCCCTGCTTGTGTTCCCTCTCTCGCTGTGTCTCTATCTGTCAAATAAATAAATAAAATCTTAAAAAATATATATCTAGTTAAAAGACAGTCTGCTTTAAAATGACATTTATAAAATCTCTTCCGGGACTAAGTTTTAAGAGTAGTTTAATAAGTTCATTTTAATTCATATTTGTTTTTTGGATCAATGGAGTTTAATTTTATAAATTAAAACAATGCTTTGGTTGCCTAGAAGTGGCCATTCCCCAGCTTTCCAGACATGAGCCAGGCCTGCCCTGGAGCACAGACTTGGAGAGATTCAGCAAGCCACATCCCCATCTGCTTCACCCAAACGCTTCCTCAGTCTCTTATCAGCAGCCTCAAGTACATTGGATTCACCTAGCAAGCTTTAAAAAAAGTATGTGTCCAGGCTCGTCTTCTGAATTAATTAACACAAGTGGGGTCTGAGCAAGCACTAGCACTTTGAGAGAAGGGCAAGAATGCTAGAGACAGACTAGCATTAGGAAGCAACAGGAAGTGAAAAGTGCCCACTCTCACACACACAAAACAGATGCAGGAAGTCAAAACATAGAGCAGTCTGGGGTCATTTGCTCTAGGGACAAAAAATGTGCCCTCTGACTGGCCCCCGTGGGTATCAGGAAACCAAAACTGATATTCAAAACACTGCCCTGTAATTACAAGAAATGGGTCTTTTGCCGTTAATATCCAGGAAAGCAGCCATAGTGAAGTACTGGCCAGCCCCTGGCCCATCTCGGTCTTTCTTATCTTCCGTACGTCTTTAGCCCAGTGGTTAGTCCGACTGCATTGTCATGGCCCACTGCTCATGGGTGGGGGAGGAGGGTCTCCCCTCAAAATTGTCAGATTTTTTATGGCAAAGGCTGAGGTTGATAAATTTCTGTAACCCCATCACCTAGTCCAGTGGGCCTCAACCAGGAGCAATTATGATCCCCCACCCCCCAGGGAATATTTGGGAATATCGGGAGATTTTTTTGGTTGTCACAACTTGGGGAGGGGGATGCTAACTGGCAGCTAGTGGGTAGAAGGCGGGCATAGGGCTAGACATCCTACAACACACAGGGCAGTTCCCCACCACATAGAATTATCTGGCCTAAAATGTCAATAGTACCTAGGTTGAGAAACCCTAGTTTCATTTAACACTTGACAGAGTGACACTAAATATCAGAAAGATAGTCCCATCAGGAACTTTCTTCTTCCCATACGTATTCATCATCCAGATAAGGTCAATGTGATCTATCAACATCGAGACTCCTCATGCCAGATTTGTTAGCTATCTGGTCTCAATTCAACAAGCCTTTGAACTTAATATATTAACCAATGGAGTTCCTTCAGGAGGTCTGAAGGCCTCCATTCCAGGGATGCTCCCAAAGCTCTTGCCAGAGGAAATGTGAACAGGAAAGACCATCTCCCCACGGCCATTTCTCCAGGAAAACCCACCGGCATTAAAGAGGAAAACATCTGAACACATGTGTCTATACGTAGGGCCATACTGAGGGAATGATTTCGGTCACACTCGAGACCCCCCCACTGGATCACCAGCATCTAAATGCTCAGATGGGATGAAACTCTGCCCTCTACTCCTATCCTGACCCTCAATACAGCAAGCATTCTCCAATTTTTCATATTATAGATTCTAAATTTAGAAGAACAAGGAGAGAAGTTGTTATTTTTATTTGAGCACTTACTCTGTGCTGTGAAATTTTATATGGCTTAGCTCCTTGAATGTTCAAAGCAACCCTATGAGGTAGTTTCTATTTTTATGCCTATTATACAAATGAGAAATGGGAGGCTCAGACACATGATAATATGCCATGATACAACACGGCCAGGATTTCACTGCAGGGAGAGTAAATACATTGAAAATGTACAAAAGCCTCTCCAGTCATAACCCATAGTATTTGGAAGGTCCAAGTGGTTGTCAACAACCCAGTCCCCTATGGGACATCACCTGTAACAATGTAGCAACAAGGGGGAAATAGGCCAGAAACCAATTTTGTTAGCCCCCAGTGGGACAATCAGAGATAGTCACTTAACCTTTGACTCAAAAAGCTTTAAAAAATTAAAACGTGCTAATGCCAGCAATTAAAAAAAAAAAAACATACTGAACCCAAAGTAGTCACACAGAAATGCATTATGTAAAATTTCTTTTTCAAATCAATTTCCTAAAAGTAACAAAAATTAATCAAATAAACTTGAGCGTGGCTGTTCAGACCTGCCAAAGGCTGGTTATTTTAAGAATGGACAATGACAGTTGTGGCCCCCTAGAAAACTGGGCCTTGCCAAATGGCTGTGCCCTGAGGCCAGACCTCTACAGAAGGGGCATTGCTCAGGTCCTGTTCCACCTGGTGCCTTGTCAGTAGGATTGACTCTCTGCCAGCTCACCTGAACTGCCAGAGGGGGTGAGGGGAAGGTGATCCCTCTCACCTGAGTCAACAACTAAGTCAAGTCAATTGCTTCCCACATCACTCTATCCAAGAAGGCCTTGTTGGGCCCCATGACGCAGACCGGGATGTTCTAAAAAAGACATCACCTATGTTAGTTCTCTCTTTTTTTAATTTAATTTAATTTTATTTAAATTCAATTAATTAACATATAGTGTATTATTAGTTTGAGAGGTAGAGTTCAGTGATTCGTCAGTTGCATAACGCCCAGTGCTCATTATATCACATGCCCTCCTTAACACTCATCACCCAGTTACCTCATTCCCCTCCTCCCCTCCAGCAACCCTCAGTTTGTTTCCTAGAGTTGAGAGTCTCTTATGGTTTGTCTCCCTCTCTTGATTTTGTCTTATTTTCCCTTCCATTCCCCTATGATCCTCTCTTTTGTTTCTTAAATTCCACATGTGAGTGAAGTCATATAATTGTCTTTCTTTGATTGACTTATTTCACTTAGCATAATACCTTCTGGTTCCATCCACATCGTTGCAAATGGTAAGATTTCAATTTTTGGTGGCTGAGCAATATTCCACTGTATATATACACCACAGCTTCTTTATCCATTCATCTGTTGATAGACATCTGGTCTCTTTCCATTGTTTGGCTATTGTGGACATTGCTGCTATAAACATTGAGGTGCACATGCCCCTTTGGATCCCTACATTTGTATCTTTGGAGTAAATACCTAGTAGTGCAATTGCTGGGTTAGGGTAGCTCTATTTTTAACTTTTTGAGGAACCTCCACACCGTTTTCCAGAGTGGCTGTACCAGTTTGCATTCCCACCAGCAGTGTAAGAGGGTTCCCCTTTCTCTGCATCCTCGCCAACATCTGTCGTTTCCTGACTTGTTAATTTTAGCCATTCTGACCAGTGTGAGGTGGTATCTCAATGTGGTTTTGATTTATATTTCCCTGATGCTGAGTGATACTAAGCATTTTTTCATGTGTCTGTTGGCCATTTGTATGTCTTCCTTGGAGAAATGTCTGTATATATCTTCTGCCCATTTCTTGACTGGGTTATTTGTTTTTTGGGTGTTGAGTTTGATAAGTTCTTTATAAATTTTGGATACTAGCCCTTTATCTGATAAGACATTTGCAAATATCTTCTCCCATTCCATAGGTTGTCTTTTGGTTGGTTCTCTATTAATGCTGCAACAAATTACCCCAAATTTAGAAGCTCAAACAACACAAATTTATTACCTTGGAGTCCTATAAGTTGGAATTCCAACATGGGTATCCTCAGGCTAAAAATCAGGGCATCAGCAGGGCTGTATTCTTTTCCAGAGGCTCTAGGATAGAACCTATTTCCTTGCTCTTTCCAACTTTAAGAAGCTGCTCTCATTCCTTGGTATGTAGCTCCTTCTTCTGTCTTCAAAATCAGCAGCATTGCATCTCCCTGGGCCTCTCTTCAGTAGTCACACCGTCCTCGGACTCCTCGGGACCCTCATGATTACATTGGGCCCACCTGGATAATCCAGGATCCTCTCCCCATTATAAGGTCAGCAGAATAGCAATCTTAGTTCCATCTGCAACCTCTCCTTTGCCTTGAAGAACTCGCTGCCACCTGGAGTCTGACTCTAAGCATGAAAATGGTGCTCACGCCTGTCGCCCCAGCACAGTCTGCACGCGCCCGTTGTAGGGGATCTGACTGTAACCAAACATATTCACAGGTTCCAGGGGTTAAGACATGGCTTTGGAGAAAGGAGAACAAGGAGGCATTATTCTGCCTACCACACCACCTCTTAGATGGGGTAGCAAACTGTCCGAGAACTTTGGCCCCCACAAGAATTTAATTGAATTTGAAAGCCTTGCTATGGGACACACTCTGCCCAGTTTGCCCAGTTCTTATCACTCTCTATTGTCTTTCTCCAGCCCTCTGCCCTCACTTACCAAGGAGGCATTTGGGTTTTCCCAGGTGTAGCCAATCTTCAAGAGAGGGCCAGTCTTGCTTAGCTTGGGCTCTTTTCTTAGGAAGCCAAGTTCTGAGGAGTGATCTTGTGAATGGACCCCAAGAGTTCCTGGCACCATGCCATCCCCAGCCCTCTCCAAAGCAACTGGAATGAATAATGAATGCAGATTCCGGGATACACATGCACTGGTGTGACGTCCAAAAAAGAAATCAGAGAAGCATTTGTTTCTATTGGCGTCCGGGTGACTTACAGCTCTAGATATATATCTCCAGAATGATTTGTCTGGATTTTATAGACCCTAGACTTTTCCCAGCTGAAACCCAGTTACTGCTTCCACAATAACTCATTGGATTGATTGCTTTAAATTTAAAGGGACACTGGGAGAACTCTGGCTCCCTGAACTATTTAAATCTTGTCCTTTGTGGAAGGTTCTGTTATACTTCTGGATGACCTGAACACAAAGCACTGCAGGTCCATGGTAACAACATGGCGCCAGCAGGGGTGGGAAATGCAAAGGAGAGAGAGCCAGAGCTGGGCTGGAGAAGGGTGTCAGCCAGAATCTCAAAGAGCAGACCAAGGCAGAGGCTCTGCTCCAAAGGGAAGAGCTCAGGAAGGAGCAGCCCAAGCAACAAGGGCTCCTGTGAAAGGGTGGTTATAAACCAAGACACAGAAGCAGGAACCTGGTAGGGCCTAAGAACTGCCCTGCCTGGGGAAGGCAAGGCAGGACGAAAGAGAGGACTTTTATTTTTTAAGCACCCACACATGTCAGGTACTTTACATCAACCTATGACATCGATTCGTTTATACTTCCAACCTTGGGAGGATTGGTCTTAATAGGAAGGTATAGGTTCAAATCCCAGCTATACCTTATGCTAGCTGGGTGTCCTTGGGTAAGTTAATTAACCTTTCTGACCATCATTTTCTCATCTGTATTTAAAAATTACTATATATATATATAGTAGTGTATATATATAACTACATATAGTTATATATATAATCTGTATTTAGAAATTATTATATATAATATAGTATACACCTCACAGAGCATGTACTTTTAAAGGGTGTTTTCAAAAAACGTTTAATAGAATGGGAAAATGCTCTTTCTTTAACAACATTGAAAGGAAAAAAAGAAGATGGCAAATACCAATATAGTTCTGTTTTTGTAAAAGGAATATATACACTTTGACTATGTGCCCATGTATGCACATATACATATGAAAGAAAATAAAAATATTAATGATAGTTATTTTCATGGTGGGAATTCAGATGATTTAATTTTTAAATGTACTTTTCATATTTTCCAAATTGCCTACAATGAACATGACATACTTTGAAATATTTTTCTAGATTTGCATTTTTATTGCAAAAGTGATCCATGTTCAGGGTAGGAAATTAAACTTTGTTACCACTGGGAACAGCTTGTTATGAATTCTTGTAGATGTTTTTCTGCGCATGTCTAAATATATATGTAGAGGGCATGAGTTTCACAGGCCAAAAACTCAGGTGTGCAAAAGAGGGCAGCTTTAGTTTCCTGTAATTGAATTTCATTTCTATCTCAAGCCCCCATTCCACCTAGTGGCAGAAACTTTTTCAAGCACTAGAGTACACTCAAGCAAATAACTTATCCCCCCCACTTCTTCTACCTGGATTTGCATCTTCATCCTAGGGGGCTGACATGGTAGCCAGGTTTGTGGGGGTGTCTGGCACTCACTTATCATCTGACTTTGCTAGAGTAAGCAGAGGTATACCTTTTGTCTGGCCTTGGTCTGCAGGATCTATCCCAACTGACAGGCTCTGGGAGACATCAAGTTTCCTAAATCTACTTATCATTCATGTCGAAAATTCTGGAACACCCCTTTCTCGACTCTGTGCTCCCTTCTGGTCCAGCAGCTTTGGACCTCCATTTCACATGGAAAACTTTGGCATGCTCTCCCACTCACCCCTAAAAGGTACTTTCCTGGGCTTTCTCAGGCTCTAAGAGAAATTTCTATTCTTCTGATGCTGCAGCCAGCTGGCTCTGCTCAGGGGACGTTTGCAAGGGTTGCCAGCCCACTGAGTTCTGGTAGGGTCTCTGACTCACATCACCAGTGTGACCCAGCCTTCCCTTCTTCATTCTGGGAGAGCCTCAAAGACACCAACCAAGTCCTCCCCGACACCCACTACACTCCAAAATCACTCTCAGCCTCAGATCCTCTGCTCTCTAGGGTGGATATGATCTGTGATCTTTACTTCCTCTCTGCAGGTCAGACAGCCAGCTTGGATATCTGAGGCGTATGACATAAACCTGATGTCGAGAGCCCTTTGACTCAGCCTAGAGACCACATAAGCCTTTGCTTCTAGCAATTTCATGTTCTGCACTAGCATTATCATCTCTTCCTTGCAGCGGGACCAAGAAGCGATCTAGTTTGAGGGGGTTGGCAGGCTTGGCACAGAAAGAACAGAAAAACACATCTGTGAATATTTTAGAATATTCACTTGCTGTATTTGTGACTTTGGGGATGGGAAATATAAATACATGGATAGTTGAATAGTAGTGTAACAGTGGAATCATACCATGGATACTTTCCAGTGTTCTTCTTTTGAAGTTATTGGGCTAAACACATTCTTTGTAATAGCTGAGTAATATTCTATTGTCTTGGTTGGTTATCTAATCCTCTTCCAAAAATAGAGTAGTCCCCAATTTTTCACTATTATAATGCTGCAATGAACATTCTTGTTCATTATCTCTTGTTCACTTGATCAACTATTTCTACAGAATAAATTCCTAGAGGTGGAATTGTTATGTCAAACGATATTGTCCAATAGCCCCCATCAACAAAATATATATGGGAATATTATAGGTTTAAAAATTGAATTCCATGTAAAAAATGATACTTGACTTAATAAATGTAATAATGTTTGAATAAATCAAAATATATAAGATATACACTGTATTAAAAAACATATATGCAATGGAAATAATACAATGACTAAACTTATGGGGGGGGAACACCAGAAACATATTACCTCAACTTGAAATGAGGAAGACTTCTTTTTTTCTTTTTTTAGATTTTATTTATTTATTTGTCAGAGAGAGAGAGAGAGAAAGAGCACAAGCAGGGGAAGCGGCAGGCAGAGGGAGAAGCAGGCTCCCCGATGATCAAGGAGCCCGATGTGGGACTCGATCCCAGGACCCTGGGATCATGACCTGAGCCAAAGGCAGACGCTTAACAGACTGAGTCACCCAGGAGTCCCAATGAGGAAGACTTCTTAAACCAGATTATTTTTAATCCGGTAAAAGATATCATAAACAAAGCCCAGAAATACATGAAAGATCAGGGAATATATTTATAGTGGATATGACAGGCGGCTGGTTAGTACCACTAAAAAAAAGAGCTCCCTTAGAATTAATAAGAAAACAAATTGCAGAAAGCAATGCAGAGAAGAAGAAATTAGAAAAGGCTAATGTTGAGTGGGGGCACCTGGGTGGCTCAGTCAGTTCAACCTCTGCCTTCAGCTCAGGTCACAATCTCAGGGTCCTGGATCCAGACCAGGTTCAGACTCCCTCCTAAGCATGGAGTCCGCTTGTCCCTCTACCCCCCACCCCCGCTCCCCACTCATGCTCATGCTCTCTCTCTCCCCCAAATAAATAAATAAATAAAATCTTTTTTAAAAAAAGAAAAAGAAAAGGCTAATGTGGGAGATTGCCAATGATGACTACAGGATTCCCCCTGCCCATCAGGATATAGGAGTCTATTTCTGTGCCCCTGGCCCACCACCAGCCCACTGGCCACGTGACTTGCTTTGGTCAATGGGAAATTAACATATATAATGCAAGCAAAGAAAAGTACTTGGTACTGGGGCTTGCCCTGTGTTGCTTCTCTGAAGAACCCTGCCACAGCCACCCTGTGGCTCAGGCTATCCTGGTGGATGATGAGAGACACATGGCCCACTCACCTCCCTCACCCTAGCCAACAACTAGCAACTGCCAAGCACCAGAGCCGCTTAACTGACCAACAGCTAACCACAGACCCCTGAGGGGGCTGAACCAAGACCAGTAGTAGAAGCTGAACCCAGCCCATATTGCTGATCCACGGAATCATAAGCTAAATAAATAGCTATTGCTTTGGGCTACCAAGTTTTGGGATGGTTTATTATGCAGCAAAAGCTAACAAAAACAGCTAATAAATAAAATGTTCAAATTCACAAGCAGCAAATTTACAACAGAACATCATTTTTTTACCCATCAAATTGACAAAAATGAAGAAGAATGGTAACTTCAGTTCAGGCAAGGATGTGAAGAAATAAATATTTTCATTCATTGCTGACAAGAGTGTAAATTGCTGCAAACTTATTTGTGGAAGTAATGTGACAATACAGATTAAAACTGAAAATATATGTACCCTTTAGCCACTTCGGGGGATTTATTTTACAGGGAAAAAAATGTATAAGAATATTTATTGGAGCATTGTTTGCATTTGGGGGGGGGGAATCATCACAGAAAGAAAGAAGAAAGGAAGGGATGGAGAAGGAAAGGAGAGAGTGAAGGACAGAAACAAGGAAAGGAAAGAAATCCAGGGAAAACATGTGTATCTCTCAACAGGAAACTTTAATAAAATGCAGTGCATGAATATTATGGATTATCATATAAACGTTAAAGGAATGAATTTGAGCTATATCTACTAATTTGGAGGAATGAATTTGATTTACTGTTGAATTTTTTAAAGCAGCTTACAATGTAATGCCTATAATTCCATTTTTCTAAAATAAAAAATATAATATACATGTATCCAAGTTTTAGCAGAATAATATTAACAGGTTTTCATTTCTCTAATTCCTTTTATGTAGTGGCCCCCTAAAGATATGGAAATAATGTATGCCACAGCAGATTATAGAAACAGAGGTCAATTCATGGCTTTTGAGTTTCAAATTCTGAGGTCCTCATCTAAACCATGACTACTAAACATCCTAACTGTGTGAATGTATCAATAAAACCTTTGAAGCAGGTGCCCCATTATATGTGTATTAGGTACTTAAAAGTTAGGTACATGAATTAGTATAGGGTATAAAACATACACAAAAATATGAATATTCAAAAGAGAGACAAGGGAAATAAACTATTATAAATAAGTTATATTATTATATACAATACATTAATAGTACAAAATTATTTTGCTATTACTAAAAACATATCCTCAATCATAAACAATTTTTAGTAATACCAATGTAATTTAAAATGCTTTTTTTTTTTTTTAAGATTTATTTGAGAGAGAGAGAGTGCACGCTCACACACACGAGTGGGTGGAGAGACAGAGGGAGAGAATCTTCAGGCAGACTCCCCACTGAGCGCAGAGCCTGATGCAGGGCTCCATCTCATGACCCATGAGATCATGACCCGAACCGGAACCAAGAGTCGGACACTTAACCGACTGAGCCACCCAGGCGCCCCAAAATGCTTTACTGTTTAAAAATATCTTGGTTTAACACTTGTGATACAGTAATTCAAAGTTCTAATTCCACCTTCAATTTAATTTAGTACTTGATTTTAATGGTTACTGTAACTGAAAGAGGTAACTTGCAGAGTTCCACATGTCCAAATGGAAGAATTGGCAGTATTGCTTGCTCAAACTCAGCCACCAAAACATATGCCCAAAGTTGGCTAAAATGTTTTCATCTTCCCAGGTGTTAATCATTTCTTCTTGCAAAGGCTTCAGAACACACTGAAATTTCATGTTTTTAGGAAATCATTTCAAAACACATTGAAACTTTTCACTTTGGAAGATTTTTATATATGGGTTAGAAAACACTGTTTCCTGGGATTTTTTTTTTCAATTGGCAGACCTTAGAGGGGGTTTTTAAATTATTCTTTGTGAATGACATATGTTGCTTTCAGCAACAACAACAAAATAATAGAAATATTTCCAAACATTCATTTTCAAAATGCTCAAGAGCAAGTTTCTTTCAAAAAGCAATTACTCTCTCATGCATTGTTAAAACAGGATCTCCCATTGAAGGAACAGATTAAATATGTTTAATTTTTCAAGAATAGCTTCCAGGTAGCATTCAACTAATACTGTCATCTCAAAAAGAGGTCAGTAAACGTGAATGTCTGTCATTTTGTGAAACCAAAATATCTTAACATCAATTTCAATGAGTCTTTTAAACACTTTGTCACAAGATCATCACTGAAGCCCTGGGTAGTGCCAAAGATTTCAAAATTTCTCCCCATTTCTTTACAAAGTACTGTAAAGAATTCTATCTTTTAAAGGTCTTGTTTTTAGCAAAGCAATCAATGAACGGTATCCCACGGCAGGTCAGATGGAATGCGAGACCCTGAAGATACAGATGGTTACCGCTCCAAACACTCCTCACTGTCCACTCTGTCCACTCCATTTGGCCCAAGTGCCAACTCATATCAACTATTTGGGAAGTTTAGTTCCTTTCTTTTTTGATTAAAATAAATAGAAGTTTTTGGGGCACCTGGGCAGCTCAGTCGGTTAGGCATCTGACTTCAACTCAGGTCATGATCTCAGGGTCCTGGGACTGAGCTCTGCGTTGGGCTCCCCACTCAGCAAGGAGGCTGCTTCTCCCTCTGCCGCTCCCCCCTACTCATGCTCTCTCTCTCTCTCAAATAAGTAAAATCTTAAAAAAAATAGAAGCTTTAATATTTTCCTCGCATACCACAGAAAAATCAATGTACAACCCACTTTT